AGCCCTCAGCAGGAATCAACATGGCCGATACCTTGATGGCCTCCAGAACAGAAACACATTTCTGTCCTTTAAAGCCACCCCCTTGGGAGCCCTGGTGACACTGACAGTTAAATGCTCAGCTGGTAACTGGAAGCTTGGCAGTTCAAAGCCACCCAATGGCTCCACAGGAGAGAGATGGGGCCATCTGTTTCCGCAAAGATCACAGCCCAGAGACGCAAGTAGATACATGCACCCCCATGTTCCTGGCAGCACAATTCACAACAGCAAAGAGATGGAAAGAGCCTCGGTGCTCATCAACCGAGGAAAGGACAAGCAAACTGTGGTCCATACACACGACGGAATATTACGCAACACTAAAGAAGAACGTAGAATGTGTGAAACCCCACAGGACGGGCATGAACTTGGAGGATATGATGCTGAATGAAATAAGCCAATTACAGAAGGACAAACAGCGTATGAATCCATTGTTGTAAAAAGTCAAGGAAAGGTTGACACAGGGAAGGAAATTTTCTTTGCTGGTTACCAGGGAAGGGAGAGAAAATTGCTAGATAGGTAAAAATGTATATAGATAAATATATGTATTTGTGTATTTTTATATTATATATACATACAGGTATGGGCGCTCTGGTGCCATAGTGCCTAAGGCATTTGACTGCTAACCAGAAGGCTGGCGGTTCAAACCCACCAGCCACTCTTCAGAAGGAAAACTGGGCAATCTACTTCCATAGAGATACTGCCTCGGAAACTCAAGGAGGGGTCGCTATGAGTCAGATCCAACTCCATGGCACTGAGTTATATACCAAAGATTATTAGTAGTTATTGGGGTAGGAGGGAGGGGAAAAGGGGAAGCATTTGTTTGTAGGGATTGAGTTTACGCTAAAGACAGTGGAATATTTTGGAAAGAACAGCAATAATGGTGGCACAACATGAAAATGTCATCAACGTCCCTGAGCTGGAAGTTGCTATGCTGGTGAATGCCTTGGTGTGTATGTTTCCACCATGATTAAAAATATATACAGCCTAGAAAACCCTATGGGGCAGTTCTGTGGGGTCATGAGTCAACCTTGAGTTGAAGGCCCCTGACAACAACAGAACAGCAAGTCTATGGACACCCTTACA